TGTCTAACTTGGTTGGTTTGAACTACGGACCTTTTGGTTACAGCCAAGTGTTTGATCACCATACCTTCAGGGATCACTTGAGCTGTCTGCCGGTAGATACACGACAGAGCCTAGTTGAAATAAAAACTTATCAGAAGACCCACAGGATTATGCATACATGTTTGTTGTTTAGGAAACGAATTATGAAGTGTGTATGTTCTGAATCAGTAGCTGCTTACAGGAAGATGTCATGGAGGAGGTGACATTTAAACTGTAATTTGAAGGACCAAAAAAGAAATTTACTTTCCTTATTTTAATTTTTAATAGGTTTGGTGGGGGCAGGAGAAGACGGGGGAGAAAGAATGGAAAGAGGAATTCTATAAGAAAAAGAATGAGAGTCAACAATGAGTCAAAGTAGAATCTTTTTAGAAAATTACATTTTGGAATTCAGGAAGCCAGCAGATAGTTTGATAGTTCTGGAAGCTTGGGGCACATGGACCTTCAAAAGACAGAATGGCCAGGCCACCCACATGGGCAGTTGGCACCCCACTCTGTTTGCTCACCTTAGAGTTTGAGGATTGTTTGTTTTGTTTCTTATTTGCCAGTGAGTGTTTTATTGAATAACCTATTGTCAACTGTCTGAAGGATTTCCCCCTAATATCCTGTACTTATGTGTACACTTTATAATTCACTAGAATTTTGGCATTTCAAAAATGAATATGCATATTTATTGATATGGATTCACTCAGTGGCTCGAATGGCTAAACACTCAGTTACAAACAGAAAGGTTGGGGGTTTGATCCCGCCCAGGGTCACCACAGTCAGATCTGTTCTGGAACACATTGAGTTGCCGTGTGTCAGAACTGACTAGTTGTTTAAAAACAGATACATATATGTAAAGGTGTATGTGTGTGCATTTTTTATGTTTGTATATAAGCTCTTCCTCCCTCCCCACTAAATTTTACTTATATTGTAGAGAAAACACATAGCAAAGCATACCAATTCAGCAGTTTCTGCATCAACGATTTGGTTACAGTGATTATGCTGATATGTGCAGCCATTCTCACGTTCCTTTTCCGAGTTGTTTCTACTTCATCAACACCAACTCACTGGTCCTTAAGTTTCCAATCAAATATTTCTAGTTGCTTTTATCACTTTTACCCTGTATGTTGTTGTTATTGTTGCTATGTCCCTTCAGCTTGGAACTTACTCATAATTGACCCTCCAGGGGGTTTTCAGAGCCTGAAAATTGCACAGAAGGAGGAGATAGCCTGTGGAACAACTGATGAATTCAAACCACTTTTGTATGGGCTGATAGCACAACTCCTTGTTGTTGTTGTTGTTATGTGCCGTCGAGTCGCCTGCGACTCATAACGACCCTATGTACAACAGCCCTAAACTCCGCTCTGTCCTGTGCCAATCGCACTGTCTCTGACACTCCCATCCCAATTATCCCAGTCACTGAATCAATCCACCTCATAGAGGGCCTTCCTCTCCTGCGCCGTCCCTCCACCCTCCCAAGCATGATGTCCCTCTCCAAGGACCAGTCTCTCCTCACTACATGTCCGAAGTAAGTTAGACGGAGCCTCAGAATCCTTGCCTCCAAGGAGCCACCCGGTTTAACCCTCTCCAGGACAAATCTATTTGTTTTCCTAGAAGTCCATGGTATTCTCAGTACTCTTCTCCAGCACCACAGCTCAAAGGCATCAGTTCTCCTTCTATCCTCCTTGGTCATTGTCCAACTCTCTGATGCATAACAGGTGATTGCGAAGACCATGGCCTGTATCAGACACACCTTAGTCTCCAGAGAGACACCACTGCTCTTCAGCACTTTGGAGAGGTCCCTAACAGCAGACTTTCCCATGGCAATGCGCCTTTTAATTTCCTGGCTGCTGGTGCCAAGACTGTTGACTATGGAGCCAAGCAAACTAAAGCTGTGTACAATCTCAATCTCTTCACCATCCATCCTGATGCTGCCGATTGGTCCAGTGGTGAGAATCTTTGTCTTCTTGACATTGAGCCTCAATCCATATTGTAGGCTGCAGTCCTTGACACTCTGCAGCAGGTGCTTCAGGTCCTCCTCAGTTTCAGCAAGCAGGGTTGTGTCATCCGCATAACGCAGATTGTTGATAAATCGTCCACCAATCCTGACCCCACATTTCTCCTCATAGAGCCCAGCCTCCCGGATAATCTGTTCTGCATATAGGTTGAAAAGGTATGGAGATAGGATGCATCCCTGGCGTACGCCCCTCCCAATTTTGAACCATGCAGTGTTCCCTTGCTCTGTTCTGACGACTGCCTCCTGGTCCAAGTATGAGTTTCGCACAACTCCTTAGACTAGACTATCAGAACTATACCATCCCATTAGTTATGCTAAAGCCATGTTTGGTTTTAAAATTACTTCAAGGGCTATTTCTTGTTTAAAGTTTAAATACTAGTTGAGAAATAGTTTCAGGATTTCATCCACCTTTCGTAACTTAAGTTCTAGAATCCATTATAATCTGAAATTCTGTTCTACAACACCCCCTGTTTTGACCAGGGTTTTTTTTTTTTTGAGTCTTGGGTCAAAATGTTCAATAGTGATAGCTGGTTACCTTCAAGTTGTTCTTTTGTCCCTACAGTGGAGGAAGTTATTGAAGATGATTATCCACACAACTTGTTTTCTTCCTCCTGCTCTTCCTTTGTTGCTCTGCATGAAGAGATAACAACTCTTGTGCCATGGATCATGGCTTCTTGCCAGCTTTTAGACCCTAGGCACTATGAAATTGTTAAAATTCTTTCCCTTTGCTACTTAGCGATATAGCGAAGGTAACAATCTATGTCAGTGTACTTCAACCACATCATTTTTTTAATGATACCATTAATGGCATTTATTAGGGAAATGAGTGTGGGAGCAAAGAATATCTCACAATACCAACCACATCATTTTACCAGTTAAGTACAAAAAGCAGAGGCCTACATATGAACTATCAGCCACATGTCAAAATCAGCTTGCTTGTTTTGTTTGTTAGTTCGGTTGTAAGTGTGTCTGGAAAAATCAAATTGAATTGAACATGCTTGGCTCATGAGGAAGCCCCTTTCATCTCCCTGGGGAGAGGGAGTGAACCATCCTCAGATCTTGATATTAGCTCTCACTGTTTTTGGAACAAACACATAAGAACAGATTGCACTTTTCAAGGTCAACATTCTTTGTCATTACCTGTCAAAATTTCATTTAATATTCTTGCCTAAGGTCTCTGTATATTGTGTTTTTGATGTTTCCTTTGTGTCTCTTTTTCTACACATTGTAGTCTCAATGTAAACTGTGGGGGGAAAAGGCCATATATTATAAAATACATGCAAAAATGGAAGCCAAGGGACAAATATTGTAATATTACAGCTGCTATTCACAGTGGAGTGACTCATTTAAGCTGGGTGAGACTTTATTTTCTCATTACAAATAGGTCCATCTGGCAGTCTGGTGGTGGTGGTGACTGGGGGTATGGAAAGGACATATAGAAAGCATCACACACCTTGTGCCAATGTACGCACATGTTGTCGTGAAAAAGATGTTGTTTTCTCTCAGTTCAAAGGTGGGAAGAAAATGAAGCCCAAGTGAGATAAATTTGCCAGGCCACATAGAATAAATTACAAATATAACAGATAGAATTTAGGTCTGCTTGCCTCTAACAAGCCGCACATTTGTAACCATGGGAATATTTTAATTCATTAATGCAACAGGTGTTTATGCCCAACCTGCTGTATACCAGGCACTCTACTTGACCCAGAATTCAGTGCTGAGTAAGTTCAATGTGGTCATTACCTTGTGAAGATTTCCCCCCTGTAGAGGGAGAGAGCCACTGAAAAATAAAGATCCAAACTACTAATTCTTATCAATGCCATGAAAGAGTAGAGCAGATGAAAAATTACAAGGGAGACTTCATTTGGATTCATGGCCAGAGAAGACTTTCTGGCTTGAAACCTAGACGAGAATAGAATTCAAGTAGGCAAAAATGAGGAAATTCCATTCCAACTTTTCCAGTTGCTGAGGAGCTTAAGGTAGATAGGTCACTCAGCTAATCTCCAGCAACACTCTTCACACATTGGGCATGTGCTATTGGGCATGTGTTGTTGTTGTTGTTGTGTACTATTGAGTTGGAATTGTCCCAGAGGTGACCCTCTAGTAAGTTTACAGAGGTAGTAATTGCACAGGAGGAGATTGCCCATCCTTTTCTCATGCAACAGCTGGTGGATTCAAACTGTGTGCCTTCACGATTGCAGCACAGATTCTTACCACTAGGCCACCTGAATGCCCCTTATTGATGACTAGAATAATCTTCTTTAAGAGAGGGTTTTGCCCACGCCTCAGTGTGTGCCATTTCCTAAATTCATTATGTACTGGAGACTAAGTCCCGACCAGACATGGAAGTGGCCTCTCCCTTCCCTTGAAAGTTCTGGCATTTCGTCAAACCTGGCTCAGTCCCAACCTGTTGTCAATCAGCCCTGTAGACATTTGGGTCCCACTGTGCAGTGGAGCTCATATTATTTTTCCTTGATTGGCCCTCTATGTTCCAAGATGCATGGAGCTGAAAGCTGAAAGTGTCTCAGCGCTTTTGTCCACAAGTTCTCTCTCTCTGCTTTAAGCCTGGAATATGGATTTCATGCCACCAGGTGCTCGGCAGGAGAAGGATGGACAATCTCCTCCCGTGAGATTAACTTTCATGAGGTTCCGGCTCGAGAGTAAACAATAACACTACCATAGCTCCCTTGACAAAAATGAGTCATATTCTCTATGGCCTAATGTAAATTCTTTATTTTATAGTTGAGGAAATGACTTGTTCAAGGCTACTTCAGCAGGTAATACTGAGGCAGGACTAGAATTCCCAATCCTGATTGATTTTTTTTCTTTTTCTTTTCTTTTTACCTGCTGTAGTCAAAGTTATCTCAGAAAAGTTTCATTCTTGGCTTCCCAGCTGAAGCACTTAGAACCTAAATCAGAAATGCAATGGAAAAATGTAACAGAATTGATAAGTCTTCGAGGAATGAGACACAGTACTGGGTAAGTTTATACCTCTTTCAATCCTAACAAAAACAAAAAAGTGGAGAAGGTTATTATTATGCGCCATTGAGTCAGAACTGAGTTATAGTTGTCACAGTAGTGGAATTACAGAGGCCATAAATAACACAGAAGGAAATTATCCATCTTCTTCAGAGTAACTAGTGGATTTGAACCACTTGCCTTCATACTGACAGAACACCTTTTTACCCACTGGGCCACCAAAGCTCCTTTATACCAATACACTGAAAATATCAATTGGTTCCACCAAATCACTGCTGATGTAAAGCCTGGGACAAGTTTGCTTAATTAGCAAGACTGTGCACCATCTAACATTTCCTGTGAGGAGTAAGAAAAGGAGGTTTAAACTTGCCAGGAAGCGCTGGTGTTAAGAAGTTGCAATGCATCTCCGAAGGTGCATGGTTCGAACCCACCAGTTGCTCTGCAGGAGAAGGATGGGCAATCTCCTCCCATGTGATTTACACCCTCTGAAAACCGGTGAGAGGGTCAGTTCTGATTGACGGTGCACATGGACTTGAGTGATACAGTGACTGCAGCAATGGGCTTGAGTGTGCTGGAAATTGTGAAGACGGCACAGGATGGCACAGAATTCAGATCTCTTATTTATAGGGTCGCTTTTAGTCACACTCGACTCGATGGCACCTGACAACAAGTATCTACTCTCTAGTCTAAAGTCATAATTCAGTCAGCCGTAGAAAAAATGTACAGTGAGAGAAATTGAGGATGTCTGATCTCATTTTGAGTATTGTTAACTCTCATTGCCTGTTTTAATTTGGGCCCAAATGCTTGCTTTGCGCTTATGAATAATTTTTTTTTCTTCTTAATCCAGTTTCCTCCAATGAGACCTTCAATAAGATGGATTGACGCCGTGGCTATCACAATGGGCATTAGAGATGGTGAGGCTGGTTCAGGATGGTGCAAAGTTGGCTCTGCTGTTCACGGGTCACTGTGACTCGTATTGGACTTGGTGGCACCTAACAACTGTCTCCTATACCAGGCTTTTCATCCAGATTATTTTTGAAATTCTGTACATAATTTACCTCTGAAACACGGCCAGTAATTCTGAAGTTCTTTTCATCACTGAAATCTTTTCCTGCCATATTAAAAAATAAAAAGAGAGATGACCCTGACGTGAATTTATTAAAAATTAAAGCTCTAGCCAGTAGTGCGGGTATCTTTGGGCTCATGGCCAACAAAAGACCATCTGCGTGAAAGAAATAGCAGCTGACAATTTTGGACTCTATAAGGCTACATTGGACATTGACCTCACTGGCGATTATCTAAATTAACTGCCTCTTGGGTTGCATTTTTCTCATCATGGAAAACTTCTTTGCCCAATTCAAACCATGTGGGTGGAAATGAAAAAAAAAAAAACCAACCAAAAACAATAATCTTTCCCCACACCCAAAACAAGCCCCTCTTTCGGGAATCCCAAGTGGATGGGGTGGGGAGAGCTGTGAGCGATCTGAGGGAGCCTGGCCGTCACCACATACCATACAGAGGTGGAGGGCTTGTTATTCTGTTTCCCCACCTATGAGAGGATACTCCTATTGTTTCTGAAAGTGCTGACCAGGACCCGCACTTCCAACCAAAATTCCTCTACCCCTCCAACAGCTGCAAAAGTAGCAGCCGAGGCAACGGCAGCAGATAAGAGTTTTGATGAACTGCAAGATGGATAGGGCTGCCTGTGCACTCAGCCCTGTTGATACCAAGTGCCTTTAAGATACAGCCTTTCCCATCCTAATCTACAAAGGAAACAGGAAAAAGGAACTTAAAACTCCCTGTGCTCAGACAGAAATGAGACTGTTACAGCCTGCTCCTGTGCTGTTCCTTCGTGCTTCTCACTGGTAAACAAGCCCTACAAGAGGCTGCGAATGGAAAGTCACAGACCACCGGGTGTCTGAGAGGATCCTTGGGACCTCATGCACAGCTGCGGAAACTGGATGGAGAGATCTGGGCAAGCATGGACTCTTTAGCCGGCTTGGTTCTCGGTGGGGTCATCCTGCTGCTTTCTGGTAAGGTTGCTTTTCTTCTTCTGCTTTTTTTTTTTAAAACACCCCAGCATTAGAGACTTCTGGACTGTCCTCACTAGCTCTTAGATCTAGTGCTGGTTAACAAGGGGAGACTGCGGGGTAGATATTGCTTGTCTATGGTGCTCCATTTGGTATGTAGAAAATTGAAATGCATAGTTCTGAGGGCATGCACTGATTTTCCCTTCTGACGGATTGACTGAGTATTGCCACTGACTTTGAAGACTGATTCAGTGATCTTATTTGAAAAGTTCACTGGCTTAGGCATAGGGGTTTTTTCCCTGCTTGGCAATGTTTAAGGATTTTCTTATTTTAAAAAGGACTCTAGTTTTATAAGCATCAAAGAAAATCTTCAGCAAAATTTCTGGTTTGAGAATTGGAAGTTGCTGCTTTGCCACTTCCAGAGATGCAAACCTAAACCCCAGCCCATCAGGTCAATCTCAACTCACACTGACCAGATAGGACAGAGAACTGCCAAGAGAATTTGCAAAGATAACAATCTTTACAGAAACAGACAGCCACTTCTTTCTCTCCCAAAGTGGCTGGGGGGTTCGAACCACCAATCTTTTGAATCACTGAGTCACCAAGCCTCCTCATACAGAGTGTAAAGGCTTTTCTCTGAACATTTTTCTTTATGCATGCACTGTTTTAATAAAAACATCTAAATTTTAGGCTTTTTATGGTTTTTATAGATTAGGTTCAGTGGGTTTGGGCTGGACAATTTTTCTATTATTTAAAAAAATATTTGGCTTATAGTAATATAAAAATATATATTTGGCTCTGGTTTCAACCAAGTTTCTCCTTAGAGGCTAGGATTTTGAAGCTCTGTCTCACATACTTCGGGCATGTGGCCAGAGGGACTGATCCTTAGAGAAGGACATCATGCTCAGAAGGGTAGAGGGACAACACAGGCGAGGAAGACCCTGGATGAGATGGTTTGACGCAGTAACTGGGGCAATGGGGGTAGCTGTGTTGGAGTCAGTGAGATTGGCTCAGGACAGGGCAGGCTTCAGAGCTGTTGTATATAAGGTCTCTATGAGTCTCAGGCGACTTGGTGGCACACAACAACAACAACATATTGGCTCTGGTCGCTTAGTGGTAAGGAGTTGCACTGTCAACCCAAAGGCATGTGGTTCGAATCTACCAGCTGCTCCAATGGAGAAAGATGAGCAATCTCCTCCCGTGCAATTTATTGCTTCTGAAAACCCACTGGAGGGTTAGCTATGGGTCTGTTCTAACTTGAGGCTACATAAGAACAACAACAACAGCATAATGACTCCAATGAAGTGTATGTTTAGGTGGTTACAAAGATCTTTGAACACAGGAGGGTTTCAGAACTGCTGTAGAATTGAGGGCTGATGACTCTTGAAACATTTTTAGATTTACCGTGCTATGTGGCTCAGAGTATCTTGATACAACACACCTCTGTAGTTTACTTACGCAGTGTGACACAGACTGAAAGTAGCAACAGGACTTGTAGTGAAATTCTAGATTTGCCATCAATCTGTCCTCAATGGTTCAAATACAGTCTCCTCATGCTAATGAAAATGCAATTGTTTAGAAATTACTTGTAATCATTTCCTGAATTAATGATAAGGCCTAAGTTATATGAATGGAATTTGACCCAAAGCTATAGAGATGTCTGTTATGTGATTTTTATATGTGTTTGAAATATTTTATTATTAAATAGTCACAAAATTAGTTCAATAAGAGAAGAGAGCTGCATATAATTCACTCTATAGTTGTTCAGTTTGCTCTCAATATGAATTCTTTTGAGGATTTCATAGTGACTTTAAAATCTAAGCATGTGTAACACAAGCACTGAAAATGAAAAAGGATCAAATCAATCTTAAGATTTGTGTTAGTAGTTGTTTACAGTAATGTAGAGATAATGTTAATTTATGGAATTATATATATATCTTCAAACTAGATCATTCTCTTCATTCCTTTCTTGGATTGTTCTTGTGTTCTGGTGCCATATTTATCAGTGACATGAAGTCTGGAACTTATTCCACACCAGAGATTATGGTTATACAAAGTCCAGAAGTCCCTGATATATACTATATATGAAAGAATACACACACACTTTTAACAATTTTTTACTTCTCAGAGTGACTGCGTATGTTATGGCACTTTGCAGTATGTTGTTGTTTTGGTTGATTGCCTTCGAGTCAAGCACGACTCATATGAAGAAAAGGCTTGAAGCCCCTCTATAACTATTGACACTTATCAAAGTTCATTGAGTTTCTGGAGGCATGTTATTTAGGAAGTGGATGCCACTCCTGCTTCCAAACCTGTCATAGTATGTTATTGTTTTTATGGGCCATTGAGTCGCCTGCGATGTATAGCGACCCTATGCACAGAAGCTCTGAATCCTTCCCTTTCCTGAGCCAGTCTTACTAACTCCAACACACCAGCCCCCATTGCTCCAGTTACAGTTTCAATCCACCTCATCTGGTGTCTCTCTGTCCTACATTGTCTGTCCATCCTTCCAAGCATGATGTCCTTCTCCAATCTCCAAGGACCTATCTCTCCTGGCCACGTGCCCAAAGTAAGTGAAGTGGAACTTAAAAAGCCTAGCCTCCAAGGAGAGACTTGGTTTCATCCTCTCCAAGATAGACTTATTTGTTTTCTTGGCAGTCCATGGTAAGTTCAAGACTCTTCTCCAGCACTAGAACTAGAAGGCATCTATTCTTCTCCTGATATCCTTAGTCATTGTCCAACTCTCTGAAGCATAGCAAGTAATTGAGAAGACCATGGCCTGGATTAGGCGCACCTTTGTATTTAGATTGGCATTGTTGCTCTTCAGCACTCTGGAGAGGTCCATGACAGCAGATTTTCCCAGTGCAATGCATCTTTTGATTTCCTGACTGCTGGTGTTAAAAGTGTAGACTGTGGATCTGAGCAAGCTGTTAACAACCTCAATATCTTATCCATTTAATATGATACTGCCAATTGGTCCAGTGGTGAGAATCTTTGTCTTCTTGATGTTGAGCTTCAATCCATATTGCAGACTACAGTCCTGGACCTTTTGCAGCAAGTGCTTCAGGTCCTCCTCAATTTCAGCTAGTAAGGTTGTGTCATCTGCGTATCGTAGATTGTTGATAGGTCTTTCTCCAATCCTAATGCCAATTGCTCCTCATAAAGTTCTGTTTCCTGAATGATCTGTTCTGCATACAGATTGAAACAGTGCGGGGACAGGATGCATCACTGATGCACTCCTTTCCTGATTTTGGACCATGTGGTGTTTCCTTGCTCTGTTCTGAAGACTGCTACTTGGTCCAAGTATAGGTTTTATATAAGCATGATCAAATGCTTGGAAATCCCCATTTTCCTCAAGGTTAGCCACAATTTATTGTGATCCACATAGTCAAATGCCTTTGCATAGTCAATTAAACATAGATAGACATTCTTCTGGTACTCTCTGCTTTCTGCCAATATCCATCTGACATTGGCAATAATGTCTTTAGTGCCATGACCTCTTCTAAACCCAGCCTGTATTTCTGGTAGTTCTCTCTGAATGTACTGTCCAAGTCTTTTCTGGATAGTATAGTCACCAAATAAAACTGGAAAGCTGTTACCACAATAGTTGCTTCAGACTTCAGATGTGGAAATAAATTGTCTAGACCTCAGTCCCCTGAAAACACATCACGGACTTCAGTGGGAAGATGCCCAAGGTGGACTCTTCCTAGAAGAGAAGTGTGACAGTGGTGAGATTAGTGTGAAGTGGGCCTGTTGTGCTGACTCTGATCTAAGCCACCATGAAGGTGAATGGCCGTGGATCCTTGAGCACAGCTCTCAGAATCCACCTTAACCTTATCCCTGGTCTAGAAAAGTCCATTCTTCAAGATGAATTCCACCAGTAGCCTGCAGTGATGGGGCAAGGAATTTATAGGTTTATTTGTCTAGTCCACTGGTTTGCATCTCATACCTTTTATCTGAATCAACAGAATGGAAAAATAAAAAGGCCCAGTTTGCCTTGATAAAGGTGGCTCTGGATGAAGAGGGAAGCGCTGGTGGCCTAGTGGATAAGAAGTTGTGCTGCCAACTCAAAGGCGGGCAGCTCGAAACCACCTGCTGCTCTGTGTGAAGAAGATAAGCCGTCTCCTCATATGTGACTTACAGCCTCTGAAAGCCCACTGAATCCATGGCACTTAACAACAACAACTGGGGGAGGGTGGGAGAAGGGTTCATCCACAAGAGTGTTGGGTAGAGTATGTAGTTTTCAGAAGCCTCTACCCAAGTCCTCCTACGTTCTAGTACCATTCCTTCTCAAATGACAATTACTGTCAATGTCAGTTTACCAACAGATGCTAATAAACAGTCTAGTTTTGCTGACCTTCACCATTTTCACCAAAGCAGGCTGCTCTCTTGAAAGGGTTGCATAAACAGAAATACAAGACAGATCATCCACGCTACTTTGCATAATATGTCCTATGTGCTCAACACTGATCCAACAGGGATTCTCTATGTCTACAAGTCCTTTTCCTGTCTCCTCTGACATCTTAAATAAACCTGCATTCAGTTATAGAATATCTTTTCTGAAATGTGGTTTTACAATCAGGAAAATTACCTTGGTTATTTATCTCCTCGTCAGGACTGGTCTTAAGAGGCTGGTGTCCAGTCTGAGCAATACAGGGTCTCGAAGCTGGAATCAGTGACACTTCTTGCAACTGTTCTCTGAAGGAGGAGTTTACAAGGGTTGTGTTTGTTGACATATGTTGGCATTTTCCTTTCAGTCATATCCTGAGAGAATGTTGTGGAAAAGTCTAGTTCTTCAAAGATATCTCTCTTGGAAAAAAGTACTCTTTGAAGTCCATCTATTATTATGTTTTGTGGAGGATTCAGGTGGGTAGACTTTGAATTCTTCTGGCACTATCAATTTGTCATGGGGGCTCTACCCTCCAAAAGATAAGTGTGTGCTTGATTTACCTGATTGTACTTTGAATATTGGAGCAGGGAATTCATGAAATACTGTGAAATAA